TGGGAGGGCTCTGCCAGGAAGTGACATTTGTGCTATGATCCGCTGGGTGATGAGGAATGGCACGTACGGGACAGGGACAGTGGTGGAGGCAGGCGGCCTGCGTGCAGGAAAGGCGGGGGGAGTTACAGGACGAGGTGAGTGGGGGAGCATGGTTGGCACCTCTAAGAGCACTGGGAGGCCATTGAAGGAGAGGCAGGTGACAAGGTTTGCCTTGTCCTCATGGGTGTCTCAGCTGGGCTGAGTGCCGGAACTGGCCATGGAATAAACAGTCCCTCCTGAGGGGATGTGATCAATAGGCAGAATTCTGTCACTTAATGATAACAGTAGCCACCATCGAACTGAGTGCCTCCTGTTAGGTCAAACTATATAAAATTGCCAACATTCATTTCTCATCCACAGAAACAGCCGTTGCTGATATTACCTGGCACTATGCTTAGTGACATCATGTATGTCTGTGTGATTTGTGAAATAATGTGTACGTGCAAATTTACATCAGACGTAGGACTGTCTGATTCCTATGTGTCATCCTGACAATTACCCTGTGAAGCAAGCCTTGTTTTTTTTTTTTTAAATAATTTTCTATTCTTGTAGCGATGGTGTTTTGCCATGTGCCTGGGCTGGTCTCAAACTCCTGGCTCAAGTGATCTCCTGCCTCACCCTCCTGAAGTGTGGGTATTACGAGTGTGAGCCACCACGCCTGGCCGAGCAAGCATTGTTGTTCCCATTTTACAGATAAGGAAACTGAGGCTTAGAGAAATAAAGTATTACCCACGTTTATATTGCTAATTATTAGTCAAGTCAGGATTTGAACTGAGGTCTGATCGACCTCAAAGCCTGTGCCTAAAACCACTCTGCTGGATCCAGAAAACATGAGGCTAAAGGCTTCAGAGAGGCCGTGCAGGGTAGAGGTTAGCACTTTGCAGCCCAGATGGCCTGGGTTCGAACCCCAGCTCTGCCCCTTGCTAGTCACATGACCTTGGGGAGGAGATTAACTAGCTTCTTTGTGCCTTAGTTTACCCATCATATATAGGAATGAGCACCTCATAGGTTTTTTGTGAGGATTGAATGAACTGATGTTTGTAAAAATGCTTAGAACAGTGCCTGGGGCACTGGGCTTTGCATAGGCATAAGCTCTTGTCGTCACTGTCCTCGTGATTGGCGGTGCTGAGCCTGTGGCTCACCAGGTGAGTGGACTCCCCTGTGGGAGCAGCCCGGCTCTAACATTGTGCCTCCTGGAGGTATCGGTTCTGTCTAGACTTTCTCCAGCACAGCCCTGGGAGGATGAGGGATGACAGAGCCTGCCTCAGCTTTCCATGTCCATTCTCAACTCCAGAGGTTCTACGGGGCCACCTCCCGGCAGCCGAAGCACCTCGAGTCAGTCAGCCGCTCCCCTGTCTATTCCCATTTCAACGAGACTTGCTGGGGGTCAGCGTCATTTGGGCCTTTGAGGAGCAGGTGCACTTTATCCACCAGAGTGACCTGAAGGTGGGTGGAACCAGAAGGCCTGTTACCCCAGCATTGTGGCCAACAGGTGGGAATGGCGGGCCCGCAGGAGGGGTCAGAGGAGGCGCATGAGCACTTCGTCCCTTTGCCTCGATCTCTCATACCTTGTGGTGGGTGCAACGGCAAACCGGGCCTTTGCAGAAAGGATGGGGAGGCTTGAAGATTGTCAGTGGCAGACCCTGCTGTTGAGTATCTTCACAATGCTGCTTCCATCTGGGGGTGCTCATGCACCCCTGGGTGAAGGGTGTCAGAAGCAATTTACTAATATCACCAAGCTGAATCATATGAGATTGTCATCTTGTGGGCCACAAGTCCTGGCTCATGCCTGTAATCCCAGTACTCTAGGGGGCCAAGGCAGGAGGATCCCTTGAGGCCAGGTATTCAAGGCCAGCCTGGGCAACATAGCAAGACCCCATCTCTCTCTTAAAAAACAGGTAGCCTGTGATGGTGCTGTGTGCCTGTAGTCCTAGCTTCATTTGAGTCCTAGGATCATTTGAGCCAAGGAATTTGAAGCCACAGTGAGCTATGATTGCACCACTGCACTCCAGCCTGGGTGACAGAGTGAGACCCTGTCTCTGGAAGAAAAAAAAAAGGAGATGGGGTGGGAGATTGACATCTTGTGGACACCGACAATATCATCAATCCAAAAGAGGCAGAAGTTTGCTGATTATTTGCTGAATTTAGAGACGTGTCTGACTTATCTCTAAAACAGCACCCCTCTCACCCATTTGCATCCTGATAAACTTTTCTGAAAAAGTACCAGCACCCACAGGTGACCCATAACCACAAGCCCATCTTACACACTCTAACCCCATAGTGTCAGTCTGGGCGGGCCAACCCTGAATAACGAGAGACCCTGACTTCCCTTGCAGAATTTTTAGGGAGGAGTTTGTGACAAGCTGGCTGTGTCTGCCAGAGTAGTGAGTGTCAGTCACGTGGTTCATGAGGGCTGCAATGGATAAAAACACCCCATCTTCCTTGAACGGTTTATATTTTAGAACATTAAAATAATAGTTCTAGTGTTATATCATACAAAGCCTAGCTTTAAACAAATAAGATGGCTAGGTGCGGTGGCTCACGCCTGTAATCCCAGCACTTTGGGGAGGGGGCAGGGGGACAAGGCAAGAGGGTCACCTGAGCCCAGGAGTTCGAGACCAGCCTGGGCACTGTAGGGAGACTTGTGTCTAAAACAAACAAAAATAAAAAAATAAAAAAAAAAAACAGAAATTAGCCAGGCGTGGTGGCTTGGGCCTGTAGTCCCAGCTACTCAGGAGGCTGAGGCAGGAGGATCACTTGAATCTGGAAGGTTGAGGCTGCAGTGAGCTGTGATCATGTCATCCACACTCCAGCCTGGATGACAGAGCAAGACCCCATCTCAAAAAACAAAACGACAAAAAACAAGATTTCTGTTTCTATTTTAAAGGGTAAAATAGTATACTTTAACATTTTGAAATGAAGGAGAGTCTGGCTGTGGAATGTGGCAATGGTGATTAATCATAGTATTGTGTTTCCCATTCCCCTCTCAGATCTGTCTCCTAACAAGAGACTGTTACTTTATACTTGTTCTTAGCCAAAAGTTAAGAAACATTGATGGTTATTTTAAATCACTGGTGCCTCTTATAGTTGATGTTTTTGTCTTCTTAGTATTTAGGAAGTTCCAGCATGTCTTTTATTGTGTGTGTGTGTTAATTGTGCATATATATATATAGTTTTGTTTTGTTTTTTTTGTTTTTATTTGAGACAGGGTCTCACTCTGTCGCCCAGTCTGGAGTGCAGTGCCATGGTCTGGGCTCACTGTACCTTCGCCCTCCTGGATTCAAGCAATTCTCCCACTTCAGCCTGCCAAGTAGCTGAGATCACAGGCATGCGCCACCACGCCCAGCTAAGTTTTGTATTTTTAGTAGGGACGAGGTTTTGCCATGTTGGCCAGGCTGGTCTCGAACTCCTGACCTCAGCTGATGCACCTGCCTCAGCCTCCCAAAGTGCTGGGATTACAGATGTGAGCCACTGCACCTGGCCTATATGTGTATATTTTAAAGGCTTCAATGAGGAAAACTTGGTTCTCAAAAAGGCAAGCCTCAGATTCCAGGGAAGATTGCCTCTGGAGAGCTCTGGTTTAATCCATGGGTTTGCCAGATTAATGAGATTTACTGGCATTATTCCCTTTCCGCCCTCCCTACCCCGTGCCATTGTGCATGTTTTGAAAAAGCAGTGCCAAGAAGGCTTCTCTCTGGAACTCTTGTGGAGTTACTTGAGTTAGCAAAGAGTTCCCTTTTGTCCCCAAGTGCTGGAAGCCAAGTCTCTGAAAAGCTGACTCCACGCCCGTCTGTCTGCCCGTGTGTCTCGTGCAGGTGGCTGGCCGTGCGTCTGGAGTGTGTGGGCAACTGGCAACTGCGTTGTCCTGTTTGCTGCCCTGCTTGCAGTGATCTCCAGGCACAGCCTCAGCGCTGGCTTGGTGGGCCTCTCAGTGTCTTACTCATTGCAGGTAAGAGGGGATGCTCGGGGCTGGATCATTAACGTGTTAATAGGGGAGCCAGTTGTGCTTTGCTTTGGGTTCCAAGTCCAACAGGAATGGGGGAGAGGAAAGGGAGAGGCATGGAGTCTGAGGAGTAGATACAATGCCTGGTGACCAACTAGAACGGAGAGGAATTTCACATGTTGCCAGGATTTTCCCCATCAAAGATTCCTTGATGGCCCAAGAGGATACTTCCAGGTACAAGGGGAATGCTTTTAAAACTATGAATTTCCCTCTAAGCACTCCTTTAGCTGCATCTCACAAATGGTGATACACTGTGTTTTTATATTGTCACCTGGTTCACAATATTTTCCAGTTTCCTTTCTGATGACTTATGTGGCCCATAGGTTATTGTGGAAATGTGGTATATGCCGTGGAGATGGCAGTGTGGCAGGCCTGGGTGATGGCTACACCTGGGTTGCTCATTTCTATACCATTCTTACCTGAATGTTTCATAATTCATCACTTTTTTAGCAGGGGAGGGAGACAGTGTCAATCCGTTACGCAGGCTGGAGTGCAGTGGCAAAAATCTCAGCTCACTGCAACCTCTACCTCCTGGGTTCAAGCGATTTCTTGCCTCAGCCTCCCAAATAGTTGAGATTACAAGCGTGCATCATGATGCCCAGCTAATTTTTGTATTTTTAGTAGAGATGGGTTCTGCCATGTTGGCCAGGCTGGTCTCAAACTCCTGACTCAGGCGATCCGCCTGCCTCGGCCTCCCATAACTCATTCTTGTTGAAAATAATTTGTTTCCTGTTATCTTATTTAAAAAAAAAAAAAAAAAGAAAGAAAAATGGGAAAATAAAGTACTGCTCACTCTAGAAATGCCTTTTGAAGGTCACCGTGTACTTGAGCTGGCTGGTTCGGATGTCATCTGAGATGGAAACCAACATTGTGGCCATGGAGAGACTCAAGGAGTATTCAGAAACTGAGGAGGAGGTAGGCGAGGGCCCCTGGCCTGACCTCTGGGTCTTCGGTGTAGCTTTATCCCAAGGACATCTCTGAGCCCTGTCCTGTGTACCCTCGGCCTCTCAGCAGGAGAGTGAGCTGGACACCCCATCAGGCAGAAGTGCATCTTACGCTTGTCCAGTCTTTTGGCAGCACTTACTTAGAGCCTGGTTTTAGGGTGAAAATAGTTGACCAGCGTTCCCCAAGATCTGGGGTATCCGCATACGAGACTGTGGGATGCTGGCCGAGCATTCAGAAGGGACTCCCATTGTGAAGAAGTTTCCCCTCTAATTCTCATTCATACCTTTGACGGTACCACAGAGAAAGTCTGAGTTTGGTGCTAGCAGGTCTTTAACACCTTCGCGATTGAGATGATCTCTTCGACAGATGGATAAATAGCAGCCTTCACACTTGGAGCCTTCAACGCCACAGCCTCTATCTTCCATCAAAAATAACCTTCTATTACTTGTTATGTATTTTGTGGTGTTTTTAAAGATGGAGTCTTGGCTGGGTGCGGTGACCCATGCCTGTAATCCCAACGCTTTGGGAGGCCGAGGTGGGTGGATCATGAGGTCAGGCGTTCAAACAAGCCTGGCTAAGATGGTGAAGCCCCTTCTCTACTAAAACTACAAAAATTAGCCTGGTGCGGTGGCGGGCGCTCTAATCCCAGCTACTCGGGAGGCTGAGGCAGGAGAATTGCTTGACCCAGGAGGCAGAGGTTGCAGTGAGCCGAGATCATGCCACTGCAGTCTAGCTTGGGTGACAGAGCAAGAGTTCATGTCAAAAAAAAAAAAAAAGAGAGATGGTGTGTCACTGTCGTCCAGGCTGGAGTGCAGTGGCACGATCTCAGCTCATCGTAACCTCCACTTTCCAGGTTCAGGTAATTCTCCCGCCTCAGCCTCCCAATTAGCTGGGATTACAGGCGCCAGCTATCATGCCTGGCTAAGTTTTATATTTTTAGTGGAGATGGGGTTTCACCAGGTCAGCCAGGCTGGTCTCGAACTCCTTACCTCAGGTGATCCACCCACCTCAGCCTCCCAAAGTGCTGGGATTACAGGTGTGAGCCACTGTGCCCGGCCTGTCTGTTTTGTATTTGTATGGGAGACTCCTGTTGTGGAAAATAATAGTACTTTTCCATTTGTGATTGTAATAAATTTTCCTCAGAAGTAAGCTGAGAAATGAGATATAAGTGAGTTGATGAAGTGTATTAAAACAAGAAAATCAGCGCCTGCTGCATGCTACACAAATGATGCAGTCGGGACCGAACCAAGGGGGAAACCCTGCAGTCATTTAACCCCCGTCTTCTTTTTATAGATGGAGAAAAAGGGAGCCTGGGGAGGGATGGTGGCATCAAGGTCCCACGTGGCGTGGTAGAACATCTGGGACCCGTGTCCCCAGGCCTTGATGTCACATGGTCCTTAATAACTGCCTTCTTGGGCCCTGAACAGCAGCACGAGTAGAAACAACAGTGATAACTGTCACAGTGATCTCCGCCCCCCCCCCCACACACAAGTAATGATAACAGGGACACACACTGCGCCTTATAGTATGTCAGGCCCAGACCTAAACGCTTAACACAGAATAGTGCAGTCGCTCTTTACCTCCCCCTATGATTGATTTTTGAGACACGGTCTCAGTCTTGCCCAGGCTGGAGTGTAGGGTGATCTCACTCACCGCCTCCCAGGCTCAAGTGATTCTCCTGCCTCTGCCTCCTGCGTGTCTGGGACCACAGGCACATGTCACCACAGCCAGCTGGTTTTTGTATTTTTAGGAGATGGGGTTTTGCCATGTTGCCCAGGCTGGTCTCGATCTCCTGAGCTCAAGTGATCCTCCTGCCTTGTCCTCCCAAAGTGCTGGGATTACAAGCGGGAGCCATTGTGCCCAGCCCAATAATTTTGATGCTGTTATTACTCCCATTTTACAGGTGAGGAAACTGAGACAGAAAAGTGAAGCTGCTTGTCCAAGATCACATGGCTGGTAAATGGCAGACCTAGGCTTTGAGCCTGTGCCTCCTCGGAGACCCTCTCCAGTGCCATGGGAGTTGTACTGCACTGCATCCTGAGGAAATGCCCCTTGGGAGAGAGACCAAGGCCTCTGGTAAGTTCTGTCCTCCGCAGAAATTCCCAGAGGTGGCCTCTGCCCACGTTAACATTCTGGGTGAACCAGGTCCCATGGTACCGGTGAGCATTGTAAGAATGGCGTGAGTGCCCCCCTGAGGAACCAAGGGTTCATTACACCGGCAGCTTCCATCTTGACATTGAATTCATTTACAGGTATTTTATTAGATTTTTATTTTTGTTTTGAGACGGAATTTTGTTTTTTCTTACGCAGGCTGAAGGCTGGAATTACAGGTACCCACCAGCCCGGGCAGCTATTTTATTCGTTGTTATAATGGCCTGATTAACGTGAATTTCACATGCCATGCAGCTCACCCACTTAAACTGTGCAGTTTGATTGAATTCAGTTTGTTTTCTTTTTTTTGAGACCGAGTCTCGCTCTGTCACCAGGCGGGAGTGCAGTGGCGCAATCTTAGCTCACTGCAATCTCCACCTCCTGGGTTCAAGCGATTCTCAGGCTCCTGAATAGTTGGGACTACAGGTGCGCGCCACCTCGCCCAGCTAATTTTTCTATTTTTAGTAGAGATGGGGTTTCACCATGTTGGCCAGGCTCATCTTGAACTCCTGACCTTGTGATCTGCCCACCTTGGCCTCTCACAGTGCTGGAATCACAGGCGTGAGCCACCACGCCTGGCACAAATTCAGTTTTTAAAAGCATTTTACTTTTGATTTACTTTTATATTTTTAGAAGGAGTGTATTTGACAATCACAAGAGAAAGTAATTGTCCTTACTGCCACTGTTCGGTCTGTATATACATGTATTTTTATATGGAGATAGAAAGTTCCACATGCTTCTCTCCGTTCCCCTCACTGTGCTGTCATAGCATCTCCCCTTCAATTATGTACATAAATTAGAGAGAGATGCTTGTTTAAAACAAAATCAATACACAGCTGGGCACGGTGGCCCACGCCTGTAATCCCATCACTTTGAGAGGCCAAGGCGAGTAGATCACTTGAGGCCAGGAGTTTGAGACCGGCCTGGCCAACATGGTGAACCCCATCTCTACTAAAAATACAAAAATTAGCCGGGTGTGGTGGTGTACACCTATAATCCCAGCTACTCGCGAGGCTGAGGTGGGCGGATCGGTGGAACCTGGAAGGCGGAAGTTACAGTGAGCTGAGATTGCATCACTGTACTCCAGCCTGGGCAACAGAGCGAGACTCCGTCTCAAAAAAAAAAAAAATTAACACAAGAACTTTATGGGGGAGAGTGAAAGTTAGTTCCTGTTCACCCCATTCCTCTTCTTCCCACAGAGAGGCCCCATTCGCATTTAGGTGTGTTTCCTCCAGAACTTTCCTGTTCTGTGGGATTCCCACATACCCCCACACATTTGTTTCCTTGTTTCTTTTAACATAAGTGGGGTCTACATGTTATTCTGTGAGGCCTCACCTTTTCTTTAACCCTGAGGCAGCTTCGCATCTGTATATAATGATAGTCACTGCCCCTAAGGGCTGCTGTGAGACTCAGATGAGATCATGGGTCTCAAGTGCTGAGCAGAGCAACTTGCATTAGCTGCATTGTAAGTGCTCAGTAATAACTCTTATTTTTTGGACGGGTGCAGTGACTCATGTCAGCACTTTTGGGAGACCGAGGCAGGTGGATCACTTGAGCTCAGGAGTTCGAGACCATCCTGGGCAACATGGTGAGACCTCGTCTCTACAAAATAAAAAATAACAGTGTGCGTGTATGTTTCCTGAGACAGACTCTCACTCTGTCACCCAGGCTGGAGTGCAGTGGCATGCTCCTGGCTCACTGCAACCTCTGCCTCTCAGGTTTTAGTGATCCTCCTGCCTCAGCCTACCAAATAGCTGGGATTACAGGCTCCCGCCACCATGCCCAGCTAATTTTTGTGTTTTTAGTAGAGACAGGGTTTCACCATATTGGTCAGGCTGGTCTTGAACCCCTTACCTCAAGTGATCTTCCTGCCTCCGCCTCCCAAACTGCTGGGGTTACAGGCATGGGCCACCGTGCCCGGCAATGCTGTTATTTTATAGCACATCCACAAAAGGGCTGAATGTCTTGCCTAAAAGGTGTCGAATGTTTCTTGTTACATGCCCTCCGCCGTGCTCCTGAGGTTGGCCATGTGCTCTCCAGCCTGGTTCCGCACCTGTGTGTGCCCTGGAGGGATGTGCACTCTCTGAGGCTAAAACCACTGAACCTGGCCCACGCCACATCCAGCTGTGGGCCTCAGGAAATGCTGAACTGGACAGCTTTTCAAAAGCATAGTTGTGTTTCCCTCTGCAAGCGACCTCCCCTCTCTGTGTCTCAGTCCCCTTGTGTGTAAACCGGGGATAACTGAAGGACCCTCCACATGGGATTGCTGTGAGGATGACGAGGCACTGTGATACAATCCCTGCTTTTATCCTTGCCTTCCTGCCGGGGCGGGCAGCCAGGGTAACTCACTTTTATTCTTGTGCCTGTCCAGAGAAGACCACTCATTTCATTGACTCTGTCCATAAATATTTATTTTTAAATTTGTTTTAATCAAACAAGTAAGTTCTATTGGTGTCTAAAAACAAAAATTCACCCAACATTGAAACATACTTCAAGATCTATGTTACTGTTTTCTTGTTTCTTTTTTTACTCACTGCAGTGTGAGGAACGAATCACAAACACTTTTGAGAAACAGAGAACATAGTGCAGATTTTAAAGAATCACATTTTTAAATCTCTGTATTGTGTTTCTCAAATACCTAGAGCCAGTCTGTGCATAAAAACATCACACTGTTGTCTGTACCCTTAAAACTCGGCATCAGCCTAAAGATACGGGTAAGATGTACTACTGCTTGCTATTTTGAAATTATTGCCTTATCCAACCTAATGATAGTTATCTAAAAAACTGTTTCTTCTATAGGAAGTCTCTGACAAGCTGTTACTCGTTTCCTTGAGGTTAAAAAAATCTGGGGGCAACATTTATATTTTATTAGAAAAAATTTTAAAAAGTTTACCTACTATGTTCATATTAAGAACAATATCTGTGGCCGGGCGCCATGGCTCACGCCTGTAATCCCAGCACTTTGGGAGGCTAAGGTGGGCGGATCATGAAGTCAGGAGTCCAAGACCAGCCTGGCCAACATGGTGAAACCCCATCTCTACTAAAAATACAAAAATTAGCTGGGTGTGGTGACAGGCATCTGTAATCCCAGCTACTCAGGAGGCTGAGGCAGGAAAATCACCTGAACCTGGGAGGCGGAGGTTGCAGTGAGCCGAGATCACGCCACTACACTCCAGCCTGGGTAACAGAGCGAGACTCTGTTTCACAAAAAAAAAGAACCATTTCGATACAAGTCAGTTGTACAATTAAGAGAAAAGTGAACATGAACATCAGATTAATTTTGGCAGACAAAAGTGAACAACTATGGTCTAGTGAGCCGCTTTCTATTACAGAGAGATGACAGCTTTACAAAGGGTTTCGCTGACCTACTGAGATGATGATGTTCCTTCCCTCAGTCTCTGTGCCTTCTACCACTGGTTTACCCTCTATATTAGCAACTGTGTCACTCTTATGTCCACCTACTATGTGCTCTGAGCCTGGGATACAGTGGTGAACAATTAGAGCCTGTCCTCACTGAGTAGATGGTGCAGTGAGGGTGGGAGACAGAATACACTCGAGTACACGAGCCCTGAGAGGGCCGGAGGCGGGCAGTGCCCAGAAGGAGAAGGCAGCGTGGGACGGGACAGGGATGCGGGCCTGAGAGCCCTCTGCATCGATCAGAGATCTGCAGGATGCGGGGGTCACGTGGGGAAACAGCAAACCCCCAGTGCTGAGGCCTGGGAGGCCACCTTGGGCAGCAGAGTGAGTGAGAGGGAGGGGAGGTTGGGGGAGTCACAGCTTTCTAGGATGGACTGGGAATTCCTTACTCTCTCCCTCTGCTGTGATCAAAGGCACCTTGGCAAATCCAGGAAACAGCTCCACCCAGCAGCTGGCTCCAGGTGGGCTGAGTGGAATTCTGGAACTACTGCCGGTGCTACGGAGACCTGGATTTTGTTCTCAGGCACATCAGTGGAGGACAAAAGGTGGGTACACATCACCCCCCATTCCCAGTCAGGCACCACCAGGTGGATGAACCTAGCTGTGGCATCTGCCCTGTCACTTACAGCTCCGCACTCCTGCTTGCATGGCTGTTGCAGGGGTTGGGAGTGGATTGTGGCAGTAAGTCGTTAGAGCGCATCCAACTTGTAGAAGTGAAAGCTTAAGTGAGAGCCCAGAGACCAAATGAGCCCACAGATGCGTTTCGGAAGATTTTTTTTTTTTTTTTTTGAGACAGGGTCTCACTCTGTCGCCCACGCCAGAGTGAAGTAGTGTGATCTCAGCCCACTGCAACCACAGCTTCCCAAGCGGGGGGTACTACAAGTGGTTGGGACTACAGGCGTGTGCCACTATGCCCGGCTTATTTTTATATTTTTCGTAGAGATGGGATCTTGGTATGTTGCCCAGGCTGGTCTGGAACTCTTGAGTTCAAGCGATCTGCCCACCTCAGACGCCCAAAGTGCTGGGATTATAGGAGTCGGCCACCACGCCTGGCCCCTGGACGTTTTTTTTTTTTTCGGCGGTGGGGGGGTGGTTTCTGAGACAGAGTCACTCGGTTGCCCAGGCCGGAATACAGTGGCATCATCTCGGCTCACTGCAACCTCCATCCCCCGGGTTCAAGTGATTCTCCTGCTTCAGTCTCCTGAGTATTTGGGACTACAGGTACATGCCACCACGCTTGGCTGATTTTTGTATTTTTAGTAGAGACAGGGTTTCTCACCATGTTGGCCAGCCTGGTTTCAAACTCCTGACTGAGGTGATCCACCTGCCTTGGCCTCCTGAAGTGCTGGGATTATAGGCATGAGCCACTGCGCCTGGCCCTTGCTAAGTCTTCATGGCTTATGTTATGTCATGAGAATTTTTGCATGCATGCTGCTCTGTGACACCCCTGTAAGAGGGTGGAGGAAGCTCATCCTCCAAAGCCCAGGGAGAATTGGAGATGAGGAATATCATTATTGGCCATTAACTGGGGAACCTAGTTACTTCAAAGGAGGACGTGTGGAGACCAGGTCATGGCAAAGGGCACGGAAGATCTGCTTGAATCTTTCAGGTATTTCAACAGCTTATGAAGGGAAACTCGCCATCAGAGGTGTGAAAAACAGTGTGGAGAAATAAGGAAATACCTAATTATTAGTAAATAGTAACCGAGTCGAAACAAATAGGGCTTTGTTGGAAATTCCTTCTGCCTCTTGTGTGTCTTTTTTGAGGTCTCTAGCAACCTATAAAAAGCTGAGGAATTCCTTTTGGGAGCCTGGCAAAGGGAAGAGTGTCCTTCTTGACCCTTGGCCAAAACACCCTTAAAGGAGTGTCTCTGGAGAGTGGGTGAGGGAGGGGGTGTGGAGTTGCGTTGGCGAGATGACCGATGCCTGAGGTAGGGCAGAGATAAGGGCACTGTGGCACAGGGCCAAGTCTAGATGCCAGCATTCCCACCACACCTGGTCCCTTCTATCCTGCAGGTTGGCATCATGGGGCGGACGGGAGCAGGGAAGTTGTCCCTGACCCTGGGCTTCTTTCAATCAACGAGTCTGCTGGCGGAGCGATCATCATCGATGACATCAACATTGCCAAGATCACCTCATCCCCCAGGTGGGGTCTGGGTGCCACTCAGGGGGTGAGCCAGGGGTGGCATGCTCTATGATTGTGTTTAGTTTTGGGACAAATGTACTTGTGGCCCTACTTCATTTTTTTTTTCTTCCTGAAACGCGGTCTTTTTTTTCTGAAGTCTGACCTCCATGCAATCTCGGCTCACTGCAATCTCCGCCTCCCAGGCTCAAACGATTCTCCCAACCCAGCCTCCTGAGTAGCTGGGACTACAGGCACATGCCACCACACCCAGTTAATTTGTTTATTTTTTGTGGAGATGGGTTTCACCATGTTATCCAGGCTGCTCTTCAACTCCTGGGCTCAAACGATCTGCCCACCTTGACCTCCCAAAGTGCTGGGATTACAAGCATGAGCCACCGCACCTGGCCTTCATTATTTTTATTGATTAGGCTATGCTGCAGCTTCCCTGAATTTCCTCTTAGCACATGATTAACAATGTGGAAAATCACTGAGTATCACTCCCGACTTCTGTCCCTGCAAGTGGTAGTTTTCTGAGCATCCAGAAAAATCCAAAAGGATACTGTCTTCTCTCTCTTGTCAGAGTCAGACTGAGAATCTCTAACCCTTCTAAGAACTAGACAAGAAATAAGAATGTTTTCTTTTGAATTTTAGATCACAGGGCGCACGTGCAGGCTTGTTACATGGGTATATTGTGTAATGATGACCCTTGGGCTTCTATGGATCTCATCACCCAAATATTGAACAGAGTACCCGAGAGAGAGTCTCTCAGCCATTACCCTCCCCCATCTCTCCTTACTTTTGGAGGCTCCCGTTCTGTTGTTCCCATCTTTATATCCATGAATACCCAGAGTTCAGCTACCGCTTAAAAGTGAGAACATGCAGTATTTGGTAAG